TGCCACCTGCAGAAGTTCTCGGACGACTCTGTGATTGTTGGCCTCGTTGCCAACGATGACGAAGGGGAGTACAGAGAACTGAACCGGAATTTTAAGGACTGGTGTTAGTGGCACTTCCTCCAGATCAACACTGGAAAAACAAAGGCGCTGGTGGTAGATTTCTGCAGGTGCAGACCCACCGATGAACATTCAAGGAAAGAGCATTGAGATTGAGGAATAGTAGACTCCACCTACTGAGGAAACGGAGGTCCTTTGGTGTGCAGGGAGCACTCCTCTAGTCCTTTTATGACTCTGTAGTGGCCTCAGCCATCTCCTATGATGTGGTCTGCTGGAGCAGCAGCATCACAGCTGCATACAGAAACAGACTTAAACTGGTAAAGAGGCTAGCTCTGTCCTGGGCTGCCCTCTGGACCTTGTAGAGGTGGTTGGGGACAGGAGAATGACGGCCTCTTCACTTGTGGTGTGTGACAGAAAGATACCACAAGTCCGTCCTTCCTGCTGCAGTCAGACTGCTTAACCAGGCTTGCTCCCAGTAGTCCAGGTTTTTAGCACACCTAACGGACAATACCTCAATGCTACCTCATTGTACAATATTGACATGACTAGATATTTATTACAATTGCAAATGCCCAGAATTTTCTCAGGTATAATAACTCAAATAATGTCCAATTCAATTGTGCTTACAAACCTGGACTACTGGGAGCAGGCCTGGTTAAACAGCCTGACTGCAGCAGGAAGGAAGGAGGGACTTGTTTCTGTCAATGTTTGGGTTCCCAATGCTTTTTGGGGTGTGTGTGTGTGGGTGGGGTGGACATTGCAGTAAACTGGGTTCAAGAGTGGGGAGTGATGTGCATTAAAGGGGGCTGGAATTAAATCCCAGCCTTCTGCTTTAGGACCGTAGCCTCAACGTACTGAGTCCACACTCTCTATACTAAAAGAATAAACCTCTTACAGTCAAACCTGACTTCATGGGAGCTGGACATTTCTACCTTGTAAATCCATTGCATTAGAAACTATTCCTCTATTTGTCAGTGTGATTATAGTATGTTTAACAGGACATGTTGTAGAAACAATCCCCTTCTTGCCACAGATAAACAAGTTAATTGTCCAATTCAGATTTCTATCTAACTTTTATGCTCATATATTAGCTGTGTCCCAACTCAGGGACTGTTGTCTTTAAAGGCTGTATTTGAAGACTAAATGCATCATGGCAATGTGTCTAAAGCTTGTCCAAATATGGTGGACAAACCTGTCCCACTTTTACGGTCAATATCACGTGCATCCTTAGCGGACCCACTTATCCAGTGATAGATAGTAGACTTTCAAACTGCAGGGTGATACACTGTTAAATAATAGTATTTGATTCCAACACAGCAGGAAGTCATACAAATGGTAAGAAAGACAGAGCACTGAAATTTTCTATTATATTTGAAATACGATTAATGGTTTTAAGTTAAGTGCACTAGCTGGTTAGCCACCTGTTGTTAAGCAGGGTTGAGGTCAAAATTCACACCACACATACAGAGGTTAGACCTCATAGGGACAGACCTGGTTCAGGTTAAAGCTGTGGCTCACTGCCCATCTTCTGGATAAAGCCCCCTCATGAAAAATTTTAAAGAAATACCGTATAATTTTCCTGTTTTCCGGGTAAAGATGACGGAAAATTTGAAACTAGGTATAGCCCAAACATAATTAACGCCATTGTTTATAAACCTTAAATGTTTAAGTTAATCTTTAATCTTGTGTTTGTGTATCATTGTGCATATTTTATAAATCTCCTCCACCAGGATGAAGGAGGAAAGTAGCTGAGAGTTTAATGTAATCACACCGTACTCATTGCAGAGGGAGTTTAAAGGCTGCCTATGGTTCTCCATATTATTGGAAGAGGAGCTATATTTACTGCCCAGCTCTGTATAATGTTTCCCAGTGGAGTATAAAACATTAATTCCTCTCTGTGTATCCTGAAGCATAAGATCACACTAATGGCTCAGGCAGATCAGGGTTACACACCTCCCACCTGCACTCACCGGGATAAATCATCCATCACCCCCTCAGAAAAACGGATTGTTCCATACACTCTGCTGCACAGCCCAACAAGTGAAGAAGACAGTATCAGTGCGATCCCCGGCCCGAGCCACAACAACCTATTGATGTCCCCCCCCTTCACCCTCAGAGTGAGTATAAGGTATCAACACGCTCCAAGGTTGGCGCCAGCCTCTGTCTTTATGCACCGCAAACCAGAATTAATTGCAAATCAATCGAACAAAGTACAACTGATCAGTAAACCAATTAGTAATCTTAGCTGTTCGTACAGGTTTAGCTTTCCTCTCACTTCCATAGCGTTAGGGGTTTAAAAGTTCATACAGCAAGTTAAAGAGATTTTTACAATCTAAAGCACGTAAGCAGAAACACAGATTAACATTTTCAGACAGACTTGATCAAAACAGTTCTTATCATTCTTTAACAGAAATGTTTATTTTTATATTTATGAAACACTTTTTTTTGCTTCTTTTTCCCAAATAAGGGTAGACACTGTTTATGCTGAGGCTACAATAAAGTGTTCCAGACCATATAGACAGCGTTTTATTTTTTTGATGTGGGGTCTCTGCCGGAAAACTGCACACATATTTCTCAACTGCATAAACATTTCACTCAACATAAAGAATTTCACCCAACATTAAACCATTTAATAAATGCTAAATTGATTATGATAATAATAATGAGAGTAATAACAATACAGTTTTTCACGATTAGCAAAACACTGATTATTGTTATGTAAAACTGTAGCCTCGCTTGCATACCAGTTCTTTCTGCAGTTTTTAATGAGAGAAACAGAACTCACCATCATCAACTGAGGCTTGTGGACCTCCTGTCATGTCGTGTCATGTCATCCAATCAAACTTTAAAAATATTGGACAATCCACATTATGACAACATTTAATTAACATTTGCCTGATAGACATCGTAATGATCAGATCTCTGTCCTGTGCCAACTGTGCAAGGAAAATGTGCAATACAACCTTTTATACTTGTGGGTTTATTGTACTTCCATTTGAGATGCAGGACATGGATTATGTACATAAAGAAAACAGAGACAGTGTATTGTTTCTTGACTAGGAGTTATGATAATTTCTCTTTATTTGTACTTTTATCTGGGTTGAATGACCTTTTCTTACTGTAGTATTTCAGCAAAGCATTGTGGGAGGATTCAAGCGAAATTATCCAATCAAGGTAAGGAATCCAAATATTATGTTAGGTATGTGTTCAAAGAATTAAATATTGCAATTCAGGACATTAAATGTCTCAAATGGTGTACATGAAGTTAAAAGTCTAAAATGATTGGTGTTTTTGTCAAAAAAAGAGATTAAAAGACTAAAATGCAACTGAAACTAACAAGCATTTTCATCTTAATGAGACTGAAATTAAATCTAAAACTGCTGCTAGAATTAACACTGGCTGCAGAAACTGTTGAGTGCTTTGAAAAAAAGTTCTTGGAACTAAAAGTCTCACTTCCTTTAGTCTTAGTATCTCTTGAGTTTTGGTGGAGTAGTAGTGGAGAAGTGGTCAATAAAGGTAAAACTTTTACTTTCAAGGCTTTACAGGTAAAGGGTGAGCCATTTGGACAAGCAGAAATAGCTCTGTGCTTATCATGAATGTCTTAACTCTTATGCATACATGTGAGCAGTTTTAAAAATACGTGTATTTTAATAATCAGTGATACATGAGTGAACCTGCAGAGCATCTGTACTGTGTGACTCTGACAGAGCTGGACTTGACGTTTGTTTAGCATTTATTAATCCTCTAAAAAGTGAGGTCAAACTGATGCTGTACATTCAAACATGTCTTCATAATAATAACACAAGTATTACATGTCTGCTGCTCTGATCAGGCAGCAAGTATATTCCATGTCACACCAGGCGCAGCCAGAACTATCACAGTATTTATGCTGTCATGCGTCTTCAGAAAATCACCTCCAGATCCTGCTTTCTTCTGCTGCAGCATAATAATCCCTAATTTCAATGTGAGCAGCATTGTGGGCATTTACTCAGTGCAGGGGTGTAATATCAACACAGGGGAGGATAGAAGAATACAGGACCATAACACATTCCTTACCAGTAATTTCCAGCTGACAGCTGATGAGTAATTTTCACGTCCATTCAGAGGTGGAGCAGCTATGATTAGGACAGCGTATGATTCGGACTAAGGTAATACCTGCTTTCCTGTCCTCACCCCTCAAATCCATTTGATTGTCATTGACCACTGACTGTCACAAAGACAGCATAAAGACACACATGACAGCAGATTTCTGCACTTATTTACATCAGATTTATAATTTGCCTGCCTGCTTGGGTTAATCTGTATCTATCGCTCTGATTTCAGTCCTCAGGAAGAGAGGATTAAGCAGGGAAGCAGCTCAAATCCAGAACAAGGCAACACAGCAACACCAACCTTTGACTTCCAATGAACAGAAACCAACACACGCAATAGAGATCAGAACCTCTGAGACTGACTGAAGAGGAACCTTCCCTTTATCATGAACAAAAGACCAACTGGAGGACTCGGGTTCAAGTTTTACAATGCCACATTTAACAGCTGTTTAAACCACTGTTGCAAAACAGCTGCCTATAACATTAGTTAGTATGTTAACATTACCCAAATACTATGGCTTGTCAGTGCCTAACAGCCGTCACGGCGAGGTGGTCACAGACAACAACTCGGTACTACTTAGTAGCAGCGTATGCCCCCCATAATAAAAACTGTTGTTTAGGACTGAACGCAACATGATTACTCACGCTTCCTACCTACTTGGCTACTGTAATAACCAATGTTCTAGTCAACATTTTTTTCTCATTCATGAAACCCTTAAATCAGGGACATTTCCTGAGACAGCCTTAGCTGGGACAGGTCATCCAAAATAGGGACAGTCTCCGGAAATCAGGGACATCTGGTCACCTTACTTTACCAACACCACCAAATCGTTAGCCAAATCCCAGCTAGCATTATTTCCTCACCAAATAGTCTCTGCAGACCAGCAGCAGTGGAGGGCACAGGGAGCAGATGAGAACCTCCTGCAGAAACTTCACATGTGCCTCCATCACCCGCTTCAGGAACTGGAGTCCGTGGAGCCAGACATTGATCCAGCTCCTCAACATTTGGAACCCTGTCCGCTGGGTCTCCAGGAAGGGTGCTCTTCCTGCACCCAGACTCAGACACGTCTTCACACCTTCCTCCACCTGCTGCTGCTCTTGCGGCCGCAAGGCTGCCAAGGCTGAACAGATGGATTTTTTAGTGATCAGATTCATTTTGAAAATGTGAATAAAACAATAAAAGACACTTTCATGCAAAATTATCTATTTATCTAGGGTGACCATATTCTGACTTCCCAAAAAAGGGGACACGACAATGTGGGGGCGGAGTCACAAAGTTGCAAGAAGTGCTGCTCACCAATTTGTCGTAGTGAGCTTTGACATCTCCCATCAGCGCAGTGGACCTGACTTGTGCCGTGCCTGCACCACACTGCCGGCAGGGCAAGAATTTAGAGCCCTTAGTGTGCTTCGTACCTTCAGTCTTCAAATGGAAGTGAGGGGAAGAGACAGACTACCTGTTGCTTGTCTTGTGCCTAGCCTCCAGAACCTCAAAAAAACACTATTGGAGTATCCTAAGAATTATAAACAGGAAGTTTAAAGGCCAAAAAAAGCCATTACAGTAGGTTTTGATTTAGCAGTTAAACACAGAAAACCCCTACAGCTTTGAAAACCTAGAAAAACATATAACTTAAGTTTGTCGGCTGAATATTTGACTAAAGGTTCTTATTTTAATACCCAAACACAAAGAAAAAAATATTTTCAATAAAAGACAATGTGGCTGAGATGGTTAATTTATTATTCATGTTTTTTAGTAGTAGTTTTTTCAGGCATGACTCTGCATGAGATAAAACCACCAGTTATTAGAGACCAACTGGTCTCAACATCCCATGACAGCTGGATCCGTCCATAATCCTGCTAAGATTGTGTAGTTCGACTTTAGCATAACTCTAAGATCACAGAATGACTTGAAACCCAAAGTTTCTGTCATAAGCCTTATGTAAACTGGGCTCTAGGAAAAAGTACTCTGAGAGAGAATTTAAATCATTCAAACACTTTGACATCAAAGCTGCTAAATCGACAGGAGCTGTACCTGCTGAGCTGAGGATTGATGATTTCATTTAGAAAGAGAAAAAAGTCAGAGAGGAGAAATGAGTGACTGAGGCTAATGCCATGATGTACCATCTTAAGATCTTTTTAATGTATTCTCCTCTGTGTCCAGGGCCTGAAAGGGAAAGGGAGAGAGGAGAGCTGAATGGATTCCATTAATTTAATTGAAGCAAGCCCTGACAAGAGATAAAACATCTTGGGCCCACATCTCTTCAGGGTTGGCGCTGGGCTTCATAGTAAACAAGCCGTGATCCGTAAACAAAGCCCAGAGAGCACCGCCACGCTCCACAGAGACTTCAAGGCCATGGAATATGTCAGAGATGGGTTTGAATGGATACTCAAGTGCCCTCCATCCCCCAGCCCCCTCTCCTACACACACACACACACACACACACACACACACACACATACACATACACATACACATACACACACACACACACACTTAAGTATTCAGGCTGTATTCGGACCATTGTGTCCCAGCTCGTGGATATTTTGATGCTGGTAGCGGCTCTTTCAGTGACAGTACCTGCAGTGGATCAAACAGAGAAATCCACTCCAGCGAGGGCTCTGAAACATGGATGGCACTGTTGAATTCTGCAGATAAGAACCACTTCCACTTTGATGTGTCTCCATTAGATATTATACACCCACACAGTAATGCTCTGGAAGCTAATGTACATCATCCTCCAAACAATCCTCCTGACAGCTAATTCCACACATTTTCATTTCATTGGGAGGAAACTCATGCTGGGAGACGTGATGTGTCTGACAGTCCATACTGGTGAAATAGTACACCAGTATGTCCGCGGATCAGCCCACTGGTGTTGAAAGCTCTGTAAATGGAGGGTGCTGAACACTGAGCGTGCAAAGCACATGTTGTTTGGCCACTCAAAAAGCAACTGGTATTTGGATATGTCACATTCTTGCCTGAATTGTTCCTCAGCAGGCTCTGGCTTTCACTCAGGTTCAATAGCAACACAAAACCTAGCAGAATCCATTAAAGGAGGAATAGCTTTACCTCCGGAACAGTGAGCCGACATGTCTCAGACAATACAAGTCATTTGCCACAAACTGGGCCTGCTCGGCCTACAAATGTGCCTCATGAGAAGAATGCCAAGGTTATAGCCATTGTCCACATGTCGATCAGCTCCGCTGGCAATTCAGCTGCATTGTGGTGTGAACGCGGACCTACCTCAAACCAGCACACACCAGTTCAGCCTCTGGAAGTTTGACATTGAGTATTTTATCCAGTGTGGGAAACAGAGCCCTGCTGGCGTCAAATAACTTCACACTGGAACAGGTCCAACAACAGTAAAGCTATCCAGGGGAGAAATCTATTTCAGTTTGAACTCCTCGTTGATTTGAAGTAGTTTAATTTAGCCACTTAAAATGCTTTTCTATCAAGCACTCTTTTTTGGTTCAGTACAGTTTAGTGCAGTTTGGACGGAATTAAATATGTTTTTTTTATCATTAGCTGCATTTACATGGGCTCAAATAATCAGAATAAATGCGTCAAGTAAAAATGTCGAGTGCAAGATTCTGATCCCATTCAGTTCAACTGGAAAGAAATTGTATTCCGATCGAGAGGGGTGGTTTATGCCAATCATTATTCTGAAACGCATCCATGTAAACACTTAGTCAGACCGTGACTCTCTGTTGGGGCAAAATTAACCTGACTGCACATGTGTGCTCTTCGTCAATATGATGCATTTCTGCCGTTAGACACAAGACATAAACATGGCGGGATCCAAAAGTGATTGGTTTGTCTCTGACACAACGTTCTTGTTGGATACAGTCTCCTCATGTAACGCAGGATCAGCATGTGCTGCTGGGCCCGCTTGATGATCATGTACATAAGGAGCAATAAAACTGCTCTCAGAACCTGGCCCAGGTCCATTCTGAGTGGAGGGAAAAATCCTGAATCCTGTCAAGTAAGTCACTACCATGTTTGTTGGTTTGTTGACAGCAGAGGTGTAAATACAACTCTTCTTCTATGGTTTAGCGAAATTAGACAACTCTGCACATGCCCAAATTAAAGTGACCAGATTTCTGTGATGAAATCCGGGGACAACCAGGGGTTGGGGGGTGGTAAGCAATCGGCTGCGTGATCACAGACAACAACTCTGTACTGCGCCCCCCGTAATAACCCCCCATAAAATCTGTTGTACAGATCTCCTCAGCTACCGTAATAACCGTTGTTCTAGTCTACACGTCACGTTTTGTTTTTTTCTCATTCACGAACGGCTTAAATCAGGGACATTTCCGGGGACAAATCACACTCAAGTGACATTGTGGTGTTGATCTAAAACAGTGGATGGCCTTATGCCGGGGAACACCTGAAGATGTTCCCTCTGAACACTTTCAACATTAGGGCAGATACTTCTAAGCCGAGACGATCTATGGGGTTTGATTTTTTTGTTGACATTGACGAAATACCAATTTGGTATGACGTGACATAAATTTGGGTTAGGGTTAATTGAGCCCACGTTCTGTGGCAATACAGTTTTATTTTGTTGTTATTTATTGACACGATGACAACCTTGACTGGGACTTGCCGTGGCACCAAGAGACTTAAGACTTGACTTGGACTTGCCCCTCTGAGACTCGAGACTTAGACTTGTAAAAATAAGTACATCTCCAATGTCTCTTCCATCATGCATTTATTTTTCTCATTCATATTTGCTAAACTGATACTTTTGTGATTCAGAATCCTCAGAACTTCAGTATAAGCTTCTTTCCTTTATACTTACTTTTATTATATACTGATTATTCCACTGAAATAAAGAAATAAAGGAAAATATTTGGTTCCATGTTCTTCGCCCCTGTGACTACGAGGCGGTTATTTCCATTTTCTCCCCATGTTCTCAGAAAGAAGTCAGAAGGAGCTAAAAGGCCTGTGAAATCAAAGCATAAAGACATTGTGTGATCATTCAGCCTCACAGACGCTCCTCAGGAGCTCTAAAAGTAACTCAAGAATATTGTGGTGAATCAATAATGAAACTATCTAATCTGTTTTAGCATTCACCTATGCCTGTCTGACGTCAGATGGATCTCACAGCGGTGATCGTGAGATGTAAAGTGGACTCTTCTTGTGAGGAGATCCAGTAATAGAGCGGAGGATGGAACAGAATCCAGTCATATATTGTTTAGGTGGTGGACTCTGAGTAGTTCATATATCGCTGTTAAGTGATCTGAGATGGTCTGCACCATCTCTCAAACGCTCTTTATCTTATTTTGTGGTGCATCTGCCCTCTTTGTATTACCTCATTAGATCCCAGCACTCTGTCATGCTAACGCTGACCTTGCAGCCATTTAGAGGGAATTTCTTACTGATCATACATCTTAGCCCAACGTCCATCTAATGCACTATTAACAACACAAATAAGGTGAGATTATTACTCTGCAGGAGCCTTATCATCCTCTTACTGTATAGATTTGAGATAATCTTTTTATCATAGCTGAAGCCCTTAGCAGATTTTTTTAAACCCTTTACTTATAACAATGTTAGCAAACCTACACAAACAGTATTTAAAGATATTTACGTCTACCAAAAGACAAGAAAAAAGATGAGTATGGCTTTTAAAGGTCCTTACTTTTTAAGCCTAAGTTAAAGGGATATTCCGACGTAAAATTAATTTAAGGTCAAACGCGCCACAACACCGAGTTAGACATTCTCTTTGAGAGATGAATGTTGACGACCACTTGCTTCTCTAGTTATACCAACTTTAGTAACGACCACAGGATAGCAATACACAGCGGTCTGAGGAGCTACACACAAACCTCAACCAAAACGCTACACCTAAGTTTATCGACACTACATATAGGGTCCCAGTCATAGCACTAGCTACCAAATATCTTTTTAGCTTTGCCTAATTTCTTTAGCAAATAGACTAAACACAACTCACCTACTCTCTTCCAGCAGCCGTTTGTTTGTAGCGAGACCTCAGGCCAGGCCATTACAGACTGCAGCGGGGTGACGCAGCTCAAGGAGGAACAATTATGATCATTTCTTCATGGAAATGCAATCAGACTGAGACGCTAAGGCAGAAGAACTACCACGTCTGCAGTGCAAAATGATCAATATGGTGATCATTACTTCAAGGAAA